GCATGTGCTGTCAAGGTCGCTCTGATGCTTGTGAGCAAGCTCGTTGTAAGCAGCGACTGCTCGGTCGACGCCATCACTGCTCCGGAGTGCGGCGACGCAGGCTCCCTTTCTTCGGGGGTGGGCAGACCTCCTACCCTGACACGTCGATTGAGGAATTGGCCGTTTTCGGTTCGCGAGAGGGCGTCGCGGCCGTCATTTTTGCGGGTCCAGGTCCGTCGGTTTCGGTCCCAGGCCGTTTTCACTAAGGGGAGGTTTACCAAAGGGAGGTCTGTCCACCGCCGATTTCTGCTGAGGTCGGAGTCGGTGGCCTGCCGATCCGTTTTAAGGTTGCGAGGAGGCGGCCCCTGCCCGGTGGCTCTGCCTGCCGCGGCATGTGCAGAGCGCACGGCGAGGGGAGCTCTGGAACCGCTGCGGCGCGCGCAAGGGGGACGCGTGCCACCACCCACCAAACCACCCCAACCCAACCCGAAGGCCCGAAGGCTCATATTTGCCCTCGATTTCTAGTGGGGGGGGGTCCAGGAACGTCGAAAAAACACATATGGAGCCCATACCCCCCCCCCAACCCGAAATTCTGGGGTGGTCTGGTAGGTAGTCAACGTGGGAGAATGTGGCACGAAGCAGTCCTGTGGTGAGGGCCACAGGCCCAGCCTCGCCATGCCATCGCTGGAATCCTGGGGTCTTCGCCTCTTGCTTGCGCCCCGGGTCCAGAGACCCTCGAGCCGAGACCTGCAGCGGGGGGAGGGGAACGAGGAGGGCGGAAGGGAGTGAGGGATGGAGAGAGGGAGGGAGGACAGGAGGATGACACGGTGAGGATGGCGAGGGGGAGGAGGACAGCGGGGGCAGGGAAAGGGAGGGGAGGCGGCACCCGCATCGATGCCGCCAGCGGAGGTCATCCCGAGGGAATCGCCCCCGCAGCAGCCTGGCAGCCCCGGCGCCGCCCCCGCAGCCTCGCGAGCGCCGCCCCTGGTCGGCCACCTCTGGACCGCGGGCTCCGAGGCCTGCCGGGGTCCCGGGCCGCTGCCGATCGGCGTCGGCCGATCGGCGTCGGCGGCGGCGTCGGCGTCGGCATCGGCGTCGGCATCGGCGTCGGCGTAGGAGGAGGAGGAGGAGGAGGAGGGAGGAGGAGGAGGAGGAGGAGGAGGAGGAGGAGGAGGAGGAGGAGGAGGAGGAGGAGGAGGAGGAGGAGGAGGAGGAGGAGGAGGAGGAGGAGGAGGAGGAGGAGGCAGGAGGAGGGAGGAGAGGGAGGAGGGAGGAGGAGGAGGAGGAGGAGGAGGAGGAGGAGGAGGGGAGGAGGAGGAGGAGGAGGAGAGGAGGAGAGGAGGAGGAGGCAGAGGATGATGATGCTGATTCTGATGATGATGATGATGATGATGATGATGATGATGATGATGATGATGCTGATGATGCTGATGATGATGATGATGATGATGATGATGATGATGATGATGCTGATGCTGCTGATGATGATGATGATGCTGATGATGATGATGATGATGAGGAGGAGGAGGAGGAGGAGGACCAGTGAAAGCCCAATAATCATTAACGATGTTGCTGTAAACCCTCCCTCCAAGTTCCATGTTCATAGGCCCCCACAAGCATTCATTTTCACGCAGGGAACTGCGCCGTTTGAAAATCAACCGTTTGAAAGTCCGGAATTGTACCAGAACGCCTTTATTGGGACTTCAACGCCGCAAATCACCGTTATTGTTTTGTTTTGGCGACCTTGAATCGTGCCGGGAAACCATTCGTGGGTTTTCAACACCGCGAACCAACGTGACTGTTGCGTTCGGACATTCCGACATTTTGCCCAAACGCCATTTCTGGGATGTTAGCCATGGGGAATTGTTGAATTTGCTGTAAACTCGTAAGTCGAATGTGCGCTGCGCCAAGGCGAGAACCTCGTTTTGAAAAAGAGCTGCCTTCCATCCGTGATGCGGAGGCCCATTTTTTAAGACGAGTGTGCGCGGCGCTCAGGCGAGGGCCAGGTTTTTGAAAGCGGGCAGCCCTGCATCCGTGAAGCCGTGGCAAATTTTTAAGACGAGCGCGCGTGGAGCGAAGGCGATAAACACATCTTAAAAAAAGAGCTGCCCTCCATCCGCGAAGCTCAGGCGATGTGTTGAGACGAATGTGCGCGGCGCTCAGGCGAGAGCCGCAGTTCGAAAAGGAACCGCCCTCGCTTCGCGAAGCTTCTGCAAATGTTTAAGACGAGTGTGCGCGGCGCTCAGGCGAGAGCCACATTTTGCAAGCGGGCCGCCCTGCACCCGTGCCCTGGCAGATTTGTAAGAAGAGTGCGCGCGGCGATTCGCCGAGAGCTACACTTCGAAAGTGGACCGCCCTCCATCAGTTAAAGCTCCCGCAGTTGTTCAGACGAGTATGCGCGGCGCGAAGGCGAGAGCTACATTTTGAGAGCGATACGCCTTCCATCTGTGAAACTCAGGCAGTTTTTTTTGAGACGAGTGTGCGCGGCGCGAAGGCGAGAGCCACGTTTTGAAAGCGGACCGCCCTCCATCCGTGAACCTGTTGCCAATCTCAAGCTTCAGGATCATAAGCGGTGAGGGGGTCTCAGGCGAAACGCCCGGCCCGCCCTTGCGACCGGCCTCGTGGCGTGACACGGAGGAGTTACCGTCGGGGCGTTGACCTAAGGAACCCCAAATAAGGAACGAGGCCCTTTTTCTCCATAAGTCAAACTTCGATTCCCCATCGAAAACCTAAGGACAACCTAAGGCAAGCTGCGAAACAATTAAGGAACACCGAGCCCCTCCCCAACGAAAAGGGTTCCTTGTTTAGCGCCCCGACTGTATCCGTAAGGAAACAGGATGGAGGACACGGCCTCGCCGAGTCCTCCGAGGCCGCAGCTCGGGAAGGAGGCTTCTGCGCGGCTCCGAGCCGTGCGGAGACGGAGAAGCAGCTCCGGGCCGGGGGCGGGCGAGGGGGCGGCCTTTTACCAGCCTCGAACGTATCCTTATCCCTAAGATTGACACGCCAAAAGGCGATGAGAATCTTAGGGATTCGCCCTCGAAAAATAAGGGAATCCCTAAGATTGGCATCGTGATGAGGAGGTGCCCAGCATAGGGATAGGGATATGTTCCAGGCTGGTAATGCCTCGCCGAAGGTCCGGGTGTGCAAGCCCGGGCGCGCGTGTTCCCGTCAGGCCGCGCCTCCGCCGCTCGAGCAGGGCGAGGAAGGCAGGCCCGCGAATTCTCGCCCAGTGTCCAGGGCGGGATGCGCAGCAAGTGCCCGGTGAGCTTGCACGCTCGTCCCTTGGCATGGGCGGCCGCTGGCGGCCGTCTGTCGCACCTCTTTCCCTCCGGCCCGGTGCGGGGTCGTGTCCTCCGAGTGGCGCTGGTGCTGGGCTGTGTCGAGTGGCTCGGTCGCGTCCCAGCGCCAGCAGCGCTTCGAGTGGATCGCACATTGCAAGCGCGGTCAGTCGGAGGCTGCGTGGAATCCTCCCCGTCCCTTCTCTGCCTCGCCCCTTCCCCTTCCTCCCCGTCCTCGTCTTTCTCCCCCCTTGTCCGGCTCCCCTCCTTTTCTTTTTCTTTTTTTTCATTTCTCTCTCTCTCTCTCTTTCTTGCCCCTTCTCCTGCCCCTAGCCTCCTTCTCCTCCTGTCCTCGTGATCCCTTTTGTTCGTCTCGTGCTCTTGGCCGCGCTCTCGTTCTTTGAGTCGGTGGTGCTCCTCCTCCCCCTCCTCCCCCTCCTCCTCCTCTCCCTCCTCCTCCTCCTCCTCCTCCCCCTCCTCCTCCTCCTCCTCCTCCTCCTCCTCCTCCTCCCGTCCTTTCTCCTCCTCTCTCTCCTCCTCCTCCTCCCGTCTCTCTCTCCTCCCTCCTCCTCCTCCTCCTTGGTGCTCCTCCTCCTCCTCCTCCTCCTCCTCCTCGTCCTCCTCTTCCTCCTTTCCTCCTCCGCGCCTGGCGGCGCGATGGAACGGCAGGCGACGCCCTCCGCCCGCTTCAGTCCAGAGGGGAAGCGGCAGGGCCGGCGTGAGTTTTCGGCGGGCCTGCTGGCCTCCAGGGGGGGGGGTCTTCAGGAGGGTTTTGTCGAGGGCTGCTGTGGGTGCGAGGATTTTTTGTCCCATCTCTGGAGGTTGGTCGGAGGAGGACGGTGGTTAGAGCCCTATGGGTCCTAGTTCGTGCGCGAGAGCAGGCAGCAGAATATGGGTTCCAACGGCATTCAGGCCCAGCGCGCTCAGCACCCGAGGCTGCAGCAGGGGTAGCAAAGTCCCTCAGGCCTCTTGTGCACGCCACAGGGTGGGAGTCGCCCTAGCTGCAAAAGCGGTCACCTCCTCCTCCTCCTTTTCTCCTCCTCGTAATAATATATTAATCAGCAACATCATGCACATTATCAGCATCATCATCGTCATTATCATCATCACCGTCATCATCATCGCCATCGTCATCGTCACCATCAGCATCATCATCACCATCATCATCATCATCACCATCATCATCATCATCATCATCATCATCATCATCATCATCATCATCATCATCATCATCATCATCATCATCATCATCATCATCATCATCATCATCATCATCATCCTTATCATCATCAGCATTATTATCATCATCATCATCAGCATCAGCTTCAGCATCATCATCATCATCATCAGCATCAGCATCATCATCAGCATCACCATCAGCATCATCAGCATCAGCATTATCATCATCATCCTCATCATCAACATCATCATCATCATCATCGGCATCAGCATCATCATCATCATCGTCATCATCATCATCATCACCATCATCATCAGCATCATCCTCCTCCTCCTCCTCATCATCATCATCGTCATCCCCATCCCGCACTGGAGGTCGCCTCTGCGGCCTGGCGTGAGGCGCGGCAAGTTCTGATGCGCGTGCCTCCGAGCTGGAGGTGCGCCTGCGCCTGGGCCTGGCTGGGAGGTTGGGCCGCGGACCCCCGCCTCCAGAGCCCGGGCCGCGCATGCTGCCCCGGGTGCGAGGCCCGTGATCGCCTCGAGAGTCATACCTAGTGGGTGGCC